TACGCCTGTTCTTTCGTAAACAGATTCAACCGTTGCGGCGCCACGGAGTTCCTGCTGCTGCGGCGAGGTGCCGGTGCTTCCGGCTCCGATTCGTCGGATGATTCTTCGTTATTTTCTTCTTCTTCTTCGATAGAGTCTACCAGACCAGGCCGATAGAATGTTGAGTTAGGCGCGGGGAGAGGATCTTGCCCTAGTTTGGGCTTGATCACGTCGCGCATCTCCTTCTCACGGAACGATACCTCCACGGAGTTGGTGATTTTGAGAGGCTCCGAAGGGTCCCAAAGTCGATACGACCTACCCTTGGAGTTGTAGCCTACTAGGTACATTTTCTTGGCCCTGGCCGCCAACTTGTTCGACCGGGCGCGTACCTCTTCGTGCTTAAAAGCCAGCGACCCCCACTCGTGGATGTGAAGCATCTTTCCGAGCGGCTTCCCCTCCCATACCTCGAGTGGTGCCTTGCCGCCCAGGACTTCGGTCGGGGTCCGATTCTTGAGGTAGATTGCAGTCATGAAAGCCTCCCCCCACAGCTGTTGAGGAAGGTGCGGTGCTCCCAAGAGAAGCTTGCGGGCAGTGCCGATGATGGTACCAAATCCACGCTCGGCGATGGGGTTCCCTTGCGGGACATAGGGGGGGCTATTCGTGAGCTTGATTCCGAGCGACTTACATAGCGCCAGAAACTTGCCCAAATACTCCGCTCCCCCGTCGCAGTGCACCGTGCCGATGCTCTGACCAAGCGGGTCGGCCTCGTCCCGAACCAGAGTTTGAAGAGCTTCGGCCGTTTCGTCTTTCGTCTTGAGTAGGTAGCCGAACCTCATGCGAGTAGCGTCATCAGTAAACATCACGGCACTCTGGCAACCCCCGTATGTAGCAATAGGATGTTTCCCCCACGTATCGGCATTTAGAATTTCCAGCCGAGTCTCCGAGAGGGGACGGTTAGACGGGGGGTGGCTGCCCTTCTTACTGTCACCAACCGCACAAACACCGCAGTCACCTGGTTCGATGTTGCGATTGAACCTGATTCCGGTAGTGTCCTTGTCCGCCAGCTGCTGCAGCGCTCGCGAGTTGCAGTGGCCCATCCTCCGGTGCCACAGGTGAGCGTCTACCTTCGTGCGATTTACTTCTACAGCGCCCAGGTTGACGTCGTCGATGATGACATTCAGCACGTACATGCGAGGCACTGCGGTCGAGATCGGAAAGACCTGGTTGCCCATGCGAAGCGCCGGCGGGGTAGACATCAGATCACACATCACCCCCTTCTCGGCCAGCGCTCCAACCGAAAGTATGTTCGCTCCAAGGCCCCGAACCAGCAGAACCTCCAGAGCTACTCGCACGACTTGGTCTTGATCATTGCGCACCCCAAACTTCAGGGTACCTTTCTTGGTTGCGTCGGATGTGCCACACGACCCGATAATGCGCACAGCGCAATCTACCGGATTGAGGACGTGATGGGACAAGCGAGACTGCTCATCCACCATGTGGCTGGACGCGGCGGAATCAATGTAGCAGGCGGAATCATCAACGACCTGCGGTTTCTCTTTGTCCACCTGAAACACGCTGCTGAACGCAACGAGCTCGGTGTCCTCAGGCGCCTCCTCCGTCTGAGAATATCCGTTGGCAGCAGGGTCATAGACCACCGCTGCAGCAGGTGTGTCCAGTACCTGCGGGTCATACACAACGCGTGCATCCTGCAGCGTCGGCACCGGCGCGTCTTGCACCAGCGTGTCACCAGCAGCGCGCTCCTCTGGCTGCGCCGCAGCAGGCGCATCCTGCACCTGCACGTCTTTTCCGAAAGAGATGGCGTAGTCCTCCAGCACATCGCCTTCAGTCTCCACCCGCGTGAACCATGCCTGAGTGGTGGAGTCTTGAGTGTGGTGAGTATCAGCCTGTTCAGTGGCTTCCTCCGCCTCGTGCCTCAAGCGGAGCGGGCAGTTGTGCCACCCGTGCTCTGTCGAATTATGACAGTAGCGGCAGCGCCCTTTTCGGTTCCGACCGGTGTCCTGGCCCTTACCTCGGCCACCGGAGGCGTTGTTGCCGCGATAATTCCCGCGAGCACCTTGCGCATTTCCCGCGCTGCCGCCTCCAGCGTTGCCGGCCGATCCGCCGCCGCTGCTGTAGTTCCCATTCGACGAGCCGTTCGTCGAACCGTTTGTAGTTCTGCCGCCATTTCCTCGGCGACCACCACGACCACCACGGCCGCCGTGCTTGCGGAAGCCACGTGCCCCTCCGTGCGTGACAGTGTTCAACGCACGGCCGTGGCTGCCCGACCGATCGTCTTGGTCGAGCACTTTTCCGCGAATTTGCATTGCGTGGTAGAATGTGGCACGACGTGCGATATCGTCGAAGCCTAGCGCACCGCTACCAACAGTGGGCGACTCTACCAACAGTACAGTCTTGAACGAGCCGTATTGCTTGTCGGGCAGGGCCTTTAGGATGGCATGTGCTTGCCGTTGTTTCACGACTGTGTCTCCGAGTTTGCCGAGTTCGTGAAAGATGCGGCGCAATTGTTGGATTGCGCGAGCCGGATCGTACTTGTCAGCAGCGGTGACCGCGACGGCGGCCAACTCATCGTGTAGCTGCTGCATTCTGAAAGTCCCATCGACACGGTACTTTTGCTCGAGCGCTACAAAAGCACTTCGACCGTCACCGAACTCCTCGTCCCCGACAGGCCCAAACGACTGCACTACCTGCAAAGCCGGGCTCGAGTATCCTTCCGGGCAGTCCGACGTGGCCAGCAGAAGCCGCGTGTAGAGTTTGCCATTCTTTTCTTGGAACTTTTGTAGCTTCCTCTCGTACGTCGCGGTCGCTGCGGCGTCGGCATCCTCCGCCACCGTGGGAGCCTTCTCCGCTCCAGACATGACCCGACCTAGGTCTGCCTCGTACATCAGCGCACGGAAAAGCGAGACCCAACCGACAAACTGGCCGGGTTCTCCGCTGAACGCGACATATCCGCGCTGCAGATGATTTGACGACTGCTGTTGCGCTGATGACGCCATTTGACTCGAGATGATTCCCTACCTCGCTATACGTGGCTCAAAACCTGTTGGGCGGTACCACAGCTGTAGTACGCTGGTTGGCGTATGTGGTAGAGGCTTGGTAGAGAAAACAAAAAGAGTGATTTATTATCCACACACAGACGCCTGGACTGTCTGCACCTGACGGTTACAGTAAAACAGAACGCCTTCACAATACCGTATCAAACACATACAGCAGAATAGAGTCGGTCTTGCACAGCAAACACCCCAACAGCCCTCACTAGTGCTATGTTGCTTCTCCAATACTCCCACTATACTGTCGTTCAGCAGCTTACAAAACACGTTTCCTACTGTGTTCAACAGTGTGATCCCCCTGTAGTTTCCTTGATCAGTCTTGTCTCCTTTGTTGAACAAGTTCACAACCACTCCTTCCGTCCATCTACTTGGCGTATACTCGTTTTTCCACACCCAATTGTAAGTTCACAACCACTCCTTCCGTCCATCTACTTGGCGTATACTCGTTTTTCCACACCCAACTGCTGTATAGCAGTACCATCAGCTGGATCATCCCCTTCCCCCCAAACTTCATGAACTCGTTGACTATCCCATCCGCTCCTGCTGCTTTGTGGCACTTCAGCTTGTTCACACACGCCTCAACCTCGT